AACATTTGTTACTCTATAAAACACAGCTGTCTCATCTGAACTGTAACTTCATCATTCCTTTCCCTTAGTTGGATGGATGGGAATGTTGGAATTCACTGGCACACGCACACACACACACACACACACACGATCGTGACACAGGCACGTTTTACAGACATGCTGAGTCGGAGATAGACGGTCAGGAGTGTATCCTCACGCTGGTGTTAATGAAAGCTTTGATGATTTCGATCCCATGAATGAGCCAAGTGAAATAACTATGAGCCCCAGGCATGGCAGTTTTGATACCCGAGTCATTTCAGCTTCCATACAATGTACAATGTCACAAAAACAGTGAAACTTTCTTATCCTTAACTCACAAGTTGTGTCAATAGTAATATATAATGTTCTTCAGTGGCTTTACTTTCTCAGGTGATCAAACAATTCAATGCAACTTAGAGCCATTTGGGTCCAAGGGACATCTTGTGACTTCCCCCTCCCTTCTGTCCATCTCTCTGGTTGGCCTCTCAGTGTGTTTTGGCCTATATATTCAGTCATGAAAACAGCTCTAAAGATTACGCAATGTTCAGAGCGAGGCTCGGAGGAAAGAAACACATGATGAAATGCCAAGTTATGTTGAAAACAAGCCACGTGATAGAGGAGGAGCAGAGGGTACTCTAGGTTGACAGAGTGGGGTCTTCGCAAAAGGGTCCAAATGGTATTCTAACTCTCCATTGGGTAGGAATGCATAACAGAGTCAATAACAGCAGCACACACATGTACATCCCAAAGAGGGTGGGATCTGATTGGTGAGGTTCTATGGGTGTGTTAGGAAAAGTAGGCTCATGTCTGGTTGTTCTGTATAAGAGAACTAATCTGCATTTGAATGTACAGTGCAAGAACATATGTGACGTTTTTGTTGGGGAGGAAAAGTGAGGAAAGTGGAGAAAGTGAAAAAGAGAGGTGTTTGTGTGTGCGATGACAGTGAGAGTGTGTGTGTTTGGAGAGGGAGATAAAGACAGACGAGTGTGTGTGTGTGTGTGTGTGTGTGTTTGGACTGATCTCTTTGGGAATTCTGAAGTCCTCTTCTGTTACATCAAGGGTGTGTAGGTTTTCCGAGGAGTCAGCTAGTACATACAAACATAATGAAGATGTATTCACACTTCTGCTGTAGCGCCTAAACCTTTCCTGGAATCAAAATCCATGTGGCAGGAAAGTATGAACAGCTTATGAGGTGACTGTCATCAGAAACATCAGGCATTGACAGCAGAATACACCTGAATGTGATTACATCCTCACTACCTGCTCAACCTGAGATTGTGGATTACATATTACTGCTTGGCTGCACAGAATAGGTATACATAAGGTCTGGCTATAAAAAAATAATCTATGAAACTAATAAAGTTGAAAGGTTTTGTAGAAAAACAGCAACTGTGGAGGGAAGCATGTACTTCCTCTTTCCTCTTAAATGAAGAATTTTGTCCATCCCTAAAATATATTTCTGATTAAGCAATGTGTTCTGGGCCTCTATTGTGTAAGTGTGCTTTTTTCAGTTTCTCCTAATCTCCTAGAAACTGGAAATCCTCCAGGCCCCAAACAATAAACCCAGAAAATGTAAATACTAGTGGAACAATATTTGCATGCCTGTGAGAGTCAGAATAGTTGGAGTTTCAAGAACATAACAGTGACGTAAATGCAGGGTAAAAAATAAAAATAAAAAAACTTCAAATTAAACAGGATCACACTGAAACGTTTTTTTTAGATAAAGCATATCCCAATTCCTTATATTTAAATACAGATATAGCCTAGATATGTACTACATATATCTCTAGGTATGTACTTGTCCTTAGATATGTCTGCATATTACACTTATCTAAAGATTTTCTATCATAACACTCGTTTGTTTGTTCGTTTCTTCCTCACAATATTATTAAACTGTATGCATTTATTCAAATATTTATTTTGGTTTCAGAGTATTTCAGAGTCCCTGGGATTCAGTAGTCTAGAATCTAGATAACAGTATAAAATAGCAAATTCGAATCCCAAGATAGACAACCTTATGCAACATTTACCCGCATTAAATCAGCTTGATATCGCCAATGCTTGATTACACCGCGCGTGCTCTCGCGTGTGCTTTCATCTCGTCCTGCACGTATCCAGCACTCCAGTCTCCAGGAGCATGAGGTCAAAGCTCCGCCCACTGACGTGCAGTTTCTGCTTCATTACAGTTCTGGTACATTCCGAAAGAACATGACAATATCCAGATAATAACACGTAGGCCTAACAGACGGTCGGCCAGGCGTTTTGTTGCTGAAAGCGAAAGATTGTTGTTAAGCAGCAGTGCTTAATCTGATGCAACTCACTACTTAACCAAGACATTTATATTTATAACTATATTTAGAGATTAATACATTTATTGTGTGTATGCATGCGCATATACAACATTTGCAGTTGGAAGCATATATTATGCTTCTATGTAGGTGCTCATGTATGTTTTACAGAGCAATGCCTGGTCAAATGAATCACTTACTCTTTTGAGTCGCTTCTTTGAATCAGACAACCACACTCGCGCATTGATTACTTTATGGACCTTAATTAATGTATTATGACGGCTGTAGATGATGATATATAGTACCAATGTATTGCCATCTGATATCATGACTGCACTGCACCACTATACAGGAAAAACAGTGCTGTCCTGAAAAAAGAAAGATGTACACATGCAAAGGCAACTGGCAAAATAGTTCTTCAGTGTATCTTCTTTTGGGTGTGTTTTTCCCTAATAAAAATGTATTATGAAATTATATTATTATTTATTAATATTTCTTAAACGTTGCTTAAGCATGTAGTATAAATACGTTCTCTGAACTTTTTTTCAGCTTTCAGTTGAACCTTTTTTTTAGAGCAGTTGGCAGCTTGGCTTCATTTAGAGTATTTGTTACATTTGTGCATGAAAACACTAATAGCAGTCTGCTAACAAAGCTTTTTGAATTGGCGTGAATCTCTAAGATCTTTACTTGGCTTTGGAAATGGGCTTTAACCGGCACATAACAAACTAGCATAACCTTTTTGTTTTTTATTTTTATTAGACATTAAAGACATAACATGCAACATTTACAACTTCAACAAGACATCCAAAAAGATAACACAATTAAAGGAATGGGTTTACATTACATAGAAAAAAAATAAAATCAATAATACTAAAAAAATATAAAAAAAGACAGCATATACCCGTAGTAACTTCAACTCTTTAGCGAATAAAATTGTATCTCTACATTTTTTGTTATCAATACATTGGAGAGACTCAAAATACAAATGAAAACCAGTCATAAAGACCTTCAAACAGGGTTTAGAACTGTTTCTTTTACTTTTATGAATATGAAATTTACCAAATAAAAATCATTAGATTCATCACAAACTAGCATAACCTTGTTGCAGCGTTCAACGTCAGTGTTGCGTGACACTAAAACACGCCCTCTCATTATAATGCAGAGACTGCTGGAAAAATCTGGAATTGCGGGCAGATTGAAGATTGCGACATGGAGAGGTGAAGTTGAAGTCAAGGGTGGAGCGCGATTAACAGTTGAACAGACAAGC